TACACAGAGGGACAGTTTGTGAATATACAGACCGATGACATGCTCACAGTGACGACCCGACTGCTTTTAACTTGTACCAGGAACTGCTGATTACATGTTTGAACTTTTCGCTTCCGCACACAAAACTGTCCCCGAGGGGGTTCCGTTGGTGTAGTTTAAACTGCCACAGTTAAATATGTGGAAACAAGCTTAGCTAGGCCACTTACAGTCTTTTAAATATTTTTTATATGTTTCTTTTAAATTCAGTTATGGTAAAGTATCAGGCAGAAAGAGCAGTTTACCGTGTTTCACTCTTCACAAAGATTTTGAGTGAGCCTCTCCTGAGACAGCTGGGATAGGCCCCAGCCCACCGGCGAACCTGAACTGGATAAGCGGAAGAGAATGGATGGAAATTTGTATGATTGATTGGCTGATATTAATCTGCGCCAGTGACTGTAGAAAGCTCCGACAGTCATTGATCTGCACTGATTGTATGTTGATACGTGTTGGCCTGTTTTATCTGCTGAATTGCTCCAACAATCAATATTTTAATATTTTTATTCTAAACCGAATGCTTTCTCTTTTATTTAATAGAGTTTCCTCAAACAAATGTCCCAAAGATTATAAAGCTCCTCATGCATCATAAGCAGTATATTTTGAAGTAGCCGCGCAGTTGTATCCGTGAGTCCACAGCAACACCGTTAATCATTTTCATAATGGTCTGAAAGGTACTCTATTATAATATTAATAACAGTAATGATTGGATGCTCTTGTTTCAAGTTGCTTTCAAAAATAAAAAAGAACTGTTGAATTAGTTGTCTTTAAATAAAGTACTTAATTAAAACAGTAATATTTTTTAATTAATTTAAAAAAAATCATAAAAAGGTGTACTCTAACCCTCTTCTGTCTCCTCCCACAATTATGTTTTCTCACGCGCTCTGAATAAATGATTTAATTGGCTGAGCGGCATCGCAGGGATTAGTTACAGTTCACGCCATTGGTCGGTGTGGAAAATAGAATATTATCATTAGAATAATAGATATAGATAGACACAATAGAATCAGCTTGTCATACTTTAGTAAAAGGCCTGAGTCCGCCTGTGGAGACTCAGGCCTTTTACTAGAACACCACGGGGACGCTTTCTTTTTTTAGCACTTTTATTTTGACAGGTATAGTAAACAAACATTGAATTGATAGCTTTATTTTGAAAACAACAAACCGGAAGAGGTGCTGACGCAGGGTTGTTGCTGACAACGGTCTACGTTGACTTCAGACGCCACAAAGTGAATCGGTTGTAAGAGAGCGGCTGGATTATTACGGTAAAACAAATTTCATGATGCTGTGTTTGGTAGAAACTGCACATGTTAGAAGCACGCGGGGCTCACGCGCTGTGATGCTCGTGCGCTGTTAGTCGGGTGTTGTGGGGCTAATTTGTTGTGATGAGGTCATTTGTTAACACTGCGGTGTTCTGGTTTAGCCCAGCTAAGCGTCGTTTCAGTTACTGAAGCCTCACAGCGTATGAAACGCCATAAAATGTGCGTCCGTGTGCCGAATATGGTGAATGCAGCCGAGCCAGCTGCTAGGCGGTTTGCTAATGCGTTTCGCTGTGTGATAATGACCAGCGAGTGTGGCTGCGTTAGCCTGTTCAGCTTTTCTGAATCCGCAGCTACTGACACTGAAATGTTTCTCCCGCTGAGCTGTTTGGTAAAAGTAAAAGAGGTCAGCTGCTCACTTGTTGCTTTTATCGCTGGACTGCCAGCAGTGAAGGTGTCTGCTCAGCCCGCCAAACTCCGTTCGGGTTTAATGCTCTTCTCTCCTTCCCCCAAAATCATTCGTAGCATTTCCCCAAAGATGACGTCTCACTTCGAAAATGTACATATACCACACATTATCATGTTATGGTAGTGCATCAGTGTGTTCATAGCTTGCAGTGATGTCCCTTCCACTTACACACTACACTGTATTTTGTAGTTTATCGGTTATGATTGGATTTTACTGGAAAACTTTACATTAGACATTGAAAATAATGAGACAGCCTCTGGGTGTAGTTTCATACTGACGCAGAGGTTACAGAATCAGGCTGATGGTGTCTGTGAGCTACACCCTCTGCAGTAAACTGCCCTGGTGGCAGGCGGAGGTTCTGAATGGCAAACAAAATGCGAAACTATTCTGTTTAAAATAGAGGTGATCAAAAAATGACGCGCTCTGCTGTCTTGTGACAGGATAAGCCAACAGTCCTTTTATAGTTGTGCCTTTCTTTCCTCCGGTTGAGCTAATTATTAGGATTGGATCATCTCTGGGCTTTAGAAAGGATTTTAGAAATATTAAAGTAACCTCAGTACAACCCGGGACACCAGTCACTGACTGCGTGCTTCATATCTGAAAAGCATCGAGGTGATTTCTTAAAACTCTGGAGTGCACTGCTCCTATGCTGGACCTGATCACACTGATTGGTCTGGTACTTGTGTGCAGTCACATTAACAGACAGACACACAGTTTTACAACGTTCAGCCACCGAATGTTTTTAAGTATAGTTGTGGCCTCGGTTATGTTATTATTACTAGCTGCAAAGTTCAGCCTCATGCCTTTGTCGCAGCAACTCTACGCCTGTGATATTTACCAAACCTGGATGTAAAAGTGACCCTTGCCTGAATTGCCCAGTGTCATCATTTTGACCTCAAGCAGCCAGCAGTGTTAGGTGATCATGCCTGAAAAGGCCTCTAAAGTATAAAGATCTTAAAATACATTTTATAAATAAATGTAACCCACCAAGAAGACTGGGGCGAAAGCTGCGTTGACATGAAAGCTGTAGCAGTGATTTCAAACATCAGTGAGTTGCATGCAGGAGATGAAATGAGCTGTTCCTTACACATATGTCATGTCAGAAACAGTGGTTGCTTTTTTGTGGGATTTTTGGTTCCCATTGTTCAGGTTCTTCTTCTTTTTGTGGCGTCCCTCAGGTAAAAAAAACGTAAAATGAACTTCCCCAGCTAGAGGTGATTGGAGTTTAAGCTCAGTGTCAGTCTCTGGTCGGCATTAGAAACTGTGGAGTGTGTTGTGGTGCAGAAATGTTACTGCAGGTACATGTGTGTGTGTGTGTGTGTGTGTGTGTGTGAGAGAAATGGAGAGAGGGAATGTTGCTGCTGCTTGCATGTACATGCCAGTATTATGTTTTTTTTTCTTTTGCATATTTGATGGTGCATGCTGCTGTTAGGGACGAACCCTTTGGTAGTATTTAGACTACTGAAGCTGAAATGCCATAAAAGCATAAAATAAGTAGAGCAGTGTTTCACATGCAGAAATGCTCAGTAATAATACTGTGTCACTCCATGGCTTTTTTCTGCACTAGAGCTTTGCTAGGAATCATTTCCTGAGCCCCTGGAGCAGGCTTTGACTAAACTGCCCTCCTCAGCTGCTCTGCAGTGCTGAGAGAGAAGAGGAATAGAGGGGGCAGGGTGCTGTGCTCGCTGGATGCTTCTGTTAGATGCTCATATGTACACAAAGTGGCTTTTTCTGTGT